CTATTACTGAAACTAATAGCAAAGATCATATAGTGCAGTTTTTAGTTGCTTGTCCCATGTCACTTTGCTGAGGCTAACGAGTGCCTCTGAAGCACTTAAAATCTAAGTGCTGTGGATGGAAAAAATGAAAATGTTAATGGCTGAATTCAGAAGCAACACATTAGCCTATGCTGTTAGAAGGTAGTTACAGCTGGGCAGGTAGCATTAGGCTTCTGTACTCAACAGAGCTTATGTTTTTAACATTAAAAAAAAAAAAAGAAGAGAGGTTATTGCTGCTTTTTTATGTATGGTGAAGTGCAGAGGAGTCTAAGCCACCAGACATTTAAAAAAATGCTTTTTTGTATCACTTATGAATGGGATAGAGATGGTGGTAAGAGAACTGTAGTAGACGTATTAAAACTGATATTGTTTATAGTGTTAACCAAATTAATTATACATTGTAGAATGTACAAATCCTCCAGTCTTACGTCTGCACAAAACAGCTTTCCCCATGCAGGGAACAGAATATTCGCCCAAGACCATTCAGGATATAAAGAGCAAAACTGAAAGTTGAACTTATACTTGATTCTTAGCCAGCTTGATCAGGAGTGTTTCCTTTTCTCCAGTTAATAGGCTGATGAGAAGCTCTGTTGTCCTGCTGCTGTGCAAGGAACCTCTGTGTACATAGCTCCATTATCAAGTCAAGGGGGTATTTTCCAGTTAGCAGAAAACCACTGGAAAATTGGTGTTTTTTTTTAATAGGAGTAATATGTCTTTATAGAATGAAGCATTGTTGATCAAGTACTGCATGATCCACATGTGAATGTGCAATTGCTGCAAAAAGTTTATAACTTTCTACAGTTTAGGTTGTAATCTGTTTAGAGTTCAGGGATTTCAGGTTCTTTTTTGATTTCATTCTTGCTTTGTCAAAGGATTGTGAACTCCAGCTATGTCCGGAGGTTTTAAATATTGCCTGTTATAGAAAAATATAAACTGTTCTAATGTTACCAAAAAAGAATACAGAACTTTAAAAAAAAAACCTATATTAAAATATTATCCTTTCAGTTGGTGGCAATAAACTGGATATAAACAATTTGTCCGCCACATTCATCATTTATCCTGTTACTGTTTATTGTCTTCTTCTTTCAAAATAGAAGCTGGTCTTTCCCTTTTCGAGCAAGTTGCAGTTATCAGGAGTATGGCTGATCAAAATAGAGCATAACACTAAGTGTTCCTTTAAAAGTCTCCTAACTTTTGAACAGTGGAATAACTTCCTAAGCAAGGGATGTTGCCTCTTGTGTAACAGATAAGCTCATTTGAAGGTCAGTGGTAATCAAAGTTATTGCTAGGATTTTTTGGGTCTCCGTCATCCCACCATCTCTCTTAATTGGCCTTCTAGTTTACTTTGGCAAGAGTTGTGCTGTAAAGAATTAAATGCGCCAAGGATAAGAATGTTCTCTGGACCTTCAAGCCCTGTTCAGGAAGAACAGCATGATTTGAAATGAGATTGGTGTGCACCTTCTTGGAAAAGAATTCTTGATTCTACATATATTTGGGATTCAAAATAAGAAACTTGCACTGTGTGTTGGTGGAATGATCTTGTATCTAGGATAGTTTGTTGATAGGACAGCAAATCAAGTTTTTCATCAATTGGCTGTTTGATATTTGTGGCCTTCTGAGGTTTTTTTTTTCCCCCTCTCATTCTAATGCCTTAAAAACCTGTTGGTTAAAATCACATAGAGTGTCAATGTGCCTTTTGAATTGTTGAACTGTTGAGTTTAGTAATTCTATGAAGCTAAATGCTATGCATCTAGAAGATCATCTGCCTTCTTGATTGCCTTTTTCAGATTTACTGCTTCCTAACTGGGAAAGCTGGAAATTAGAAGTTCTGTGAACTTTTCTTGGGACATCTTGGAGCTTGTTTTGCAGCTTCAACTAAATACTGCCTGAGCTAGCTTTGCCTGCTAGTGAGCCATCACATCCTGATGTGATAAATGGAAGGCTGTGGAAACAGAGCATTTAATCGCTGTTACGACCTACGCATTATTTTTAAATCTGGGAGACCCTGTGCTTCTTCAGCAGCTCTCTAAGAGTCAGTGTTGAGATCCAATTACGTGTTTTGATCACTTGGGTGGGGAGGTTTCCCCTTTTTTTTTCTTCATAAACAACTTTTATAAAATTTGGACTTAATGAAAAGGCCAGTGGGGAGGATCAGAGAAGTGGATATGAGTTTTATTCTTAAAAGGCCATTCTCAAGAAGCAGTTTACATTGGTGTATAAATGCAGTAGAATTTTAACACTATTGCAAGCAGGGAGTGTGATTTCCCCACTGGGTGTTCATAGCCAACACAATGTGGCTGCACTTCAGCCAGGATGACTCTATAGCACAGAAGATGTATGCATCAGTGGGAAAGAAATCTCTTGAAAAGGATTAGATTAGACATTGTTTGTATCTGATCATTAAGAAGCTAATTAAGTTAAGAAGCTGTTGAGATCCTCTGAGGTTGATTTGACTTGATATTTCAGGTTTCTTTTTCTTTTGTAATAGCATTAATAATGGCTTCAGCATGGAAATGTCTGGATGAAAATCCATCTATTCATATTCCTCAAAACACATTTTTGGGACAATGTTTCAGGTCCTTTTTTTATTAATTTGTACATAGAATTTTTATGGCTTTGATATTTGGCTGGATATGGGTCTGGTTTTCTGAAGCAATGTGCATAACTTGAGAAGCAGTCTGCCCCAGCAGCCTGCTAACATCAAACTTTCCAAGTGTTCAAATGATTTGGTACAGTGCCACTTAAAATTGACATAGTTATGGGGAACCAATGAGTTGCAGAGAAGAAACCAAGTACTTTGCATTGTAGACGTTTTTTCTTCTGTTTTCAATAACTAACCTGTCAGGTGCTTTATCTAGTGTTTTCAAAGATGACAGAGAGGAGGACTTGGCAAGTTAGGAAATGAGAGAGGAGTGATACTGAGACTTCATTTCTTAGGAAACAATTCTCCTCAAGCTGTATAAACTTTCTTGAGTTAAATATTGTAGAAAACAAAGATACTGCATTTTCAGTGAAACATTTACGGTAACAATTGTTTGTGTTCTTTGCTGTCCAAGATCCTCAATAAAACCACCAGCTGATTTAAATTTTCTGTATTACTTTCATCAGCATAGACTTCCTCCAAAAAGAAAAACAAAGCTACCTCCTTCCTGACTCGGGTGGGTGGATGTGGGAAGAGAAGGGGATGGGTAAAGAAGGGGGAAAAGACCATGCAGAATAGAGATGCTGAATTTTTATGCATGTTTTTCATCTAAAGCTGAGGTGTAGATTCTGAGGTCCTTGGCCTTCACATAAATATATACACTATTGTCAGAGATGTATTTCACTTTGGCCCATGCAGTGGCACACACACTCTAGTGAGCATGTAGCTGGAGCCAGAGTTTGTGAAAAAGCCAATAGCACGTGGTGAGGCTGCTGGCATAGCAGAGCTGGAACTTGGAGCTGTATTGGGGGTGCTGGTTGGTGAGAAGCTCCTCACGATCTGGCAGTGTGAGCTTGCAGTCGTTGTGATATGAGCTTGCACGTATGGCTGCTGCCTTCCCAGCCATATCTGCAGGTAACCATTTTTCTTGTTTACTGCTAGATGAAGAAGCAAGCCTCCACTTTTAGGAGAAAAATGAAGTGGTAAACTTGGCCATCGGTGTGGCTGGTATGGTTGGGGAGCAATGTATGTCTACTTAATATCCACTTCTGGAAGAAACAGTTGGGCCAAATCATTCTTTTGTCTCTGAATCATTCCTTCTCCCCCCATAGCAGATCCTTCAGAGGATCTTTACAATCTCCCTCTTCTAGAGTTTTGTAATATTCTGCATGGCAAGTGGAGGGAGGACTTGTAGGACTCAGACCTTCACAACTTTCCTCCTCAGTGTGTGGAGGAACAGCCTCCGTTTCAAGCAGAGATTTATTTCTGTCTTTGGGTATAATGGCAGATGAGATCTGGTGTAACAGTAAAGTCATCTTGTCTTGCTAAAATCTTTGCTAGTGTTACCACTGCTTCTGTCTTACTGTCAGATCCAAATCAGCGAGGTTAACTTTCTTGCCTATCATGAGTCTCTTTCCACATCTCCTTCTTTTCTGCCTGTGAATGCCAGTGTTATCTGCTCAGGTCATGTCATTATCCAACTGAATCATGCAGACAAGAGATCTATAACCTGTGCAGGTACTGCTGGAATATCTCTGTGGCTGTCATTTTGACCTATCTTGAAGATTCCCATCCCTTTTGCATCAGTCATAAGTTAGCTTCACTTTCAGAGCCTTCCCTGTCATTCAGTACTAGGACTCTAGCTTCCACCACCCACTTAAAGCTTCTAACAGCAAGAACTTTTGTCCTTTTGCTCTGTCTGCCTCTGTTTGTGGGCAGTCCCCACAAACTTCCACAACCCACATCTTCATCTTTCTTCAAACTCTTCCTGTATTTTCTTTCTTGTGGTGCAGGGGAGAAGAAAGTAATTCTGAACCTCTGTCACAGTGTTTGCCATCTAGGAGGGCACTTGGTAGGAGTGTTCAGGGTACTGTATCTAGTAATGTTAGCTTTCAGCCTACTTCTAAAAGTCATCAGAACTTGCCTTCTGTGTATGATTACTACTTCAACTGGTTGAATCAAGCTTTTAAACCATGAAGATTTAATTTGATCTAAGTCTGGGTTTATGACTGACAGAAGGTATTGTTGAAGGGCCTCAGTTTGAACTCTTAATTGTGTTGAAGATGCTATCCATATCCTGCAGCTGTAGAATTGGGCTTGCTCTTCCTTCTGTCTTTTACTCCTGTGTCTGACATGTGGAAGGAAGAATTTTTTGGGTAGTGCTCATTTTTCTCTCCTGAAACTTATCACATCCCTTCTGCTGTACTGCCTGTCCCGCTTACCTGTGAAAAGAAATCCTTCTCTGCCCTATTCCTACTCAGTACTTCAACATCTATAAATGCCAATAATACTAACATGGCTTCTTTTTTTTTTCCTGTAGCATCTCCCTTTCTGCTTTTCGCCAACCGGCGGGATGTTCGACTTGTGGATGCTGGAGGCACAAAGCTGGAGTCCACTGTTGTGGTCAGTGGTTTAGAGGATGCTGCTGCGGTTGACTTCCAGTATTCGCAAGGCATTGTTTTCTGGACAGATGTGAGTGAAGAAGCCATCAAGCAAACTCACATTAACCAAACTGGGAATGTGGTGCAGAATGTCATCATTTCTGGTCTGGTTTCCCCGGATGGCCTGGCTTGTGATTGGATTGGGAAAAAGCTTTACTGGACGGATTCAGAAACCAATAGGATAGAAGTAGCTAATCTGAATGGAACATCTAGAAAAGTCCTCTTCTGGCAAGACTTAGATCAGCCCAGAGCAATAGCTTTGGATCCTGCTCATGGGTAAATATTAATTTGACTTAAATGCTTAAATGGATATGGTGGTGATAAATGTGGAGTTTTTAGCTCTGAAAAAGAAACATAGCCTTTTTTTCAGTTTGCGTTTTCCCAGGGTATTTTTCTCAAGACCTGTAGCTGAACATATGTTTGAGCTTAAATATTATGTGGCAAGAAATAACAGCCAAGACATAGACCCAAAAAGAAAAATACGGCTGTTCTTAGGTGCCAAGCCAAATATTCAAACAGTCTGATTGCCTAACTTATTCCATTGCACTTCCAAAGAGTAATTGATTTTCCAAGCCTATTTTTATTGTTATTTTCTCAGTTATCCTGTCTTGCAAGCTAACTTTTATTTGATATGTGATATCTATTTAATGTACCTAGACAGCAAGGTATGTAAGTCTGCATGAGTTTAAACAGGAATTCTCACTCACTATGCTTCGGTAAACAAAATCAGTATATTTTTAAGTGGCAATGTTAAATAATCATCTTTGTGCCAGCAAGTAAAAGAATCCAGGTGATTCTGGATTCAGGGGGCTCTTGGTGATCAAAGGTGACCAGGTGAGGAATAAGGGATGTGTAGCTTCTAGAGTTCTTGGAAATACTTGGATCTCTGTCTGGTTCCTTCCTCCCTCTTCAATACTCTTCACCATTTCCCATGTGCTATTTACTAACCCCGTGCACAAGCAGCACTGATGTTGTGTAGTTCGGGCCCCATATTCATTGCAGTGATGATTGAAGATCTGCTGTGCTAGATGAGTGAGGAGTTATGGGTAAATTAATTACATAATTTATTTTTTAATGTATGTATTTACATTATTTATATGAATTATCATTTGTAAGTTTATGTATTTCTACATGAAAGACTTACAAGTACTAGATGAAAATGTGTGGACTCAAAGAAGAAAAATCCTTAGCTTTGTTCACTTGTCAAAGGCTGTAGCTGCCTGTATCCTTCAGGTAACTGGTGGAAAGGTACAGCTGTAATCAGTAAAAGGGAAAGTGACTTTGTTGGACCAAAGTACTTTTCCAGAGAGGACCTTGTCCTGTTAATTCTGACTTCACTATGGATGCCTTTAAGGTGAAAGGAATTCTTCCCACAGCAAATGGCCCATATGGAAGTATATTAAATTAGCAGGAATCCTGTGTGTATCCTGACAGCAAGTAATGTATGCGGAGTTAATTAATGCTGAAGACTAACTTTAGATCTAGAGTTCACTAGTTTAATTTAAAGAGCAAATATGGTGTTAAATGGGGTATTTTATATGGAAGTAGATAGAATGGAAGGGCGCTTTCTATGAAATACCAGCACCAGGTTGACATTTTGTAAGCTGCTGTAGTTCCTTGTTTTTTGACTGCTTTCCTTAAGGTGTTCCTGCCCACGGCAGCGGGGTTGGTACTGGATGAGCTTTAAGCTCCCTTCCAACCCAAACCAGTCTGTGAGTCTATGATTCTATGATTAAAAAAATATAAAAAAATTTGAGAAGGGACAGCTGTCAAGGTTAAAAAGTTGTCAGTTCAGAGTCTGAAATTAAAAGCTTCAGTCATGCCTAGCTGTTAATCCACTGTTTCCTTAGTGTCACAGCAAAGAGCCAGACCTAGTAACTGTTCTTACATCACTCACGACTGTGTTTATAGCAGCACTTAAATAAAACTGCAGTGGTGTTTACTGATGATCCTCCAGGACCTTGGTCCCACACAACAGCAGTATGTCATGTACTTACAGTTAAGCATGTTGGCTTTCTGTTTAGAAATCATTGGGATCTGAATGCTGAAGCCTGATCCATATGAGCTGCCGTAGACTGAGGCTTTAATTTCAAAGACTGTGAATGGTAAAATGTTTTTAGCAACGTATCATCTGATCTTACCTCCTTTGGACTGTTTGAGAGGTAGGAGAATACTTAATAAAAACCTGAGACTGTTGCAAATACTGGACAGGAAAAACATAGTATGGGTAAAGATTATGCTTTTTAGTAACTCTTACTTTCACTCATGGCTACTTAGTTAAAACACAGAAGATACCCTAGGTTTGTGTGAAACCTGATGATTGCTGCCCTGAAAACAGAGATTAGTTTCTATTGTGTGTGTCTCTGTTTAGTGATTAATATCAAGTATAAAATTATTTTGAAGCTCTTGATTAATTATTTGAAACACTGTAATAAGGAAGAATGTAGAAGTAGTACAGTTGCTTTCTTAGACGTAAGAAAAATACTCAACCATGACATTGGTTACGAGTCATATCCAGTATCTTGATATGGCTGTAATTTCTAGGAGTTGGAAAGCTTTTGATATGTTTGTGGCCAAATTGCTACAAATAGTCTCATGCATGAGAAACTTGAAGTTCTTGTGGGAAGTGTTATTTACTCTGATTTTCAGATGGATGTCCTTGATGGTGCCAGCCTTTCCATAAATGTTTCATTGGTCTCTTTTACTTATTTCTCCCTTTTCCTGCTCATACATGTGACTAAAGAGCATAAATTGCCAAAGACCATTTGCTTGATTTGAGAGCAAAGCTGCTGCTTCAGACAGGAAAAAGAAAAACAAAACAAAAAAAGGTGATTTACTTTTTTTTTTTTTTTTTAACTGCCTGACTGGAATTGCATGGGGCAGAGATGGAAGTGTGTAGACTTTATTAATAACACCACAGAACTCACTCCACTGTTAGCAGTCTTGTTGCTGCAAGTTCTGTGATTTCTCATATCCTGACTCCTGGAGACTGGGGTTTCTTTGCCCCATATACATTTAGTCTTAAGTAGTTTGGTAATAATCATGGTATTCTTATCTTTTTAATTTCTACACTATTTCTCAAGGGAGCATAAGGAACAAGAGGATGGCTTTGGTTGTCTCAGTGGCAGCATGTGTTAGGTTTGTTTTTCAGGTGAAGTCAGGAATGTACCTTTGGTCAAGAAGCTCTGGCTCTCAGGCCAAAGAGATGGTGGAAGCGGAATTCTCTTTGATTTAGAGGACTTGATATGGGTAGTTTATAGCTCTGCAGAGGCAGTGTGGAAATCATTGCATATGCAACAAGTGGGTCTGGCTGGACTGGCACCATTCTGTTTGTTGTGAATTGGTGGTTTTGGTTTAACTCAAAACATGTTTCATTTTTTTGTTTTCATGTAAAATTAAGCAGTAGTATAAACTGAAGTAAGAATTTTTCCACATAATCTCTTGAATCTGTATTAAAACAGGGTTTTGTTTGTTAAATTATGTTTAAAATTCACAGGATTATAGAATCAGAGAATGGCTTGGGATCTAAATTTACCTTCTTTCAGTTTAAAGCCACTCCCCCTTGTCCTGTCACTACAGGCCCTTGTCAAAACCCCCTCTTCAGATTTCTTGTTGGCTCCTTTAGGCACTGGAAGCTGCTCTAAGGTCTCCCTGGAGCCTTCTCTTCTCCAGGCTGAACAAGCCCAGCTCTTTCAGCTGGTAATTGTAAGTGTGCAAATGCACATACTTATATTGCATGCCTTGACAAACTATTGGCTTTCATCTGAGTGTACTCTTTTCCCAAATATCGAGATAAACTGCATCAGCACACTGAAACAGGTAAAGTGCATTGCCTTGAGCTAAGTTTAGGGTCTACCTGTAAACAGCAGATGGTGGGAGGTATCTCCCAAGCTGATGGAGAGAGTTGAACAGTTGTTACTGCACCTTTTGATAGGAGGATCTCTGGACTTCTGAGTTGCTACAGCATGCCATTGTTCCCTTTCTTAAAACAAATTGTATTTTTTGAAAGGAGGACCTGGGGTCAATGAACTGAGTATCAGCCAGCAATATGCCCTTGCTGCAAAGGAAGCCAACAGCATCCTGGGCTTCATTAGAAGGAGTGTTGCCAGCAGATCGAGAGAGGTGAGCCTTCCCCTCTAGTCAGAGCTGGTGAGGCCATCCGTGGAATAATGTGTCCAGTTCTGGGCTCCTCAGCACAAGAGATGCAGACTTGCAGGTATGAGCCAAGGGCCAAGCCACAAAGATTAAGGAATTGGAGCATCATATAAAAGGCGGGGCTGACTGAGTTGGAATTATTTACCTTGGAAAAGAGAAGGTTGACCCTGCTTTGAGTGGTAGTGTTGCAGTAGACAATCTCCAGAGGTCCTTTCCAACCTCAGGAATTCAGTGATTTGGTGAAAGAGAAGCCTTTCTGATGCAGGGTTTATGACCTCATGATGTCTTCTTCTCCCTATCTTGTTTACTGTGACTTCCCTGACCCCCTTAGAGGGATGGTATAATGCTGAGTTTCTTGTGAAGTCTTTTTAATGTGAAATAATTTCTTTATATGTAATATTTCCTCATCTCTGCTCAGAAATGTCTGTGAAGTTAAAGTTATATTGTGTTGTCTCTTTTACCTTATCTAGTGACCATGAGGAGCAGTTCTGAGGGCTCATTTATTTGTTTTTCTGTTTCATGTAGAATTTTTGCATAGAAATGTATGGGTCATTCTTATAGAAGGGAAAATGCATAACAGACACAGCACCTGCAACTCTTTTTTTTTTTTCTCTCAGGTTTTTTGTTTGTTATTAAAAAAAAAAACAACAAAAACACAACAAAAAAAATCCTAACAGTGCAGTTTCTTTTTCTCGGCCTTGCAGAGGTATTTGCAGTAATACTGCACTCCAAGTTGAAAATTCTCTTCCTAATGCCCCTTAAGTAGTGTTGCAAGTATCTCCTTACTGCTGCCTTCTTTCTCTAGCTTAATGTGTTTGGAAATCTTGAGTCTCTTGCTCCAGGGATTCTTCAGCTTCGTGGTGTCATGGCAGGGGGTTGGAACTGGATGAGCTTTAACATCCCTTCCAACCCAAACCATTCTATGATTCTGTGTAACCTGACTTTTTAACAAGCTCTGTTGAACGCATGCTTGTTTACCTTTGAGAAATCACTGGGGCGTCTTACTCCTTCCCATATGGGTGAACAGGGAAAAACATGCTTTTTCTTTGCAAGCACTTTATAGCAATAATATTTGAGCATCTATCAGTTGACAGGCAATTATGTTTTTCCTCTTTGTTCTC